CTCCCTTTATTTATTTATCAGCACAAATAAAACACACACACACACACACATCTTATTTGGAAACTCCAGCTGTCTTACCTTCCGAAAGACGCTTCCCCAATATATTACTCTTAAGGGAAAACAGCTCTAAGGCAAAATTTCCTTACCCATTATGTATACAATACAAACTTTTCACACAGAAGGATGTTGCCTTGCTATACTTCATACTCCTGATTTAAAATCTAGAAAGATTGCCCAGTATTTTGTTTTAAAGCCTCTTACCCTACAGACGGTGCATGTATATATTAAAGCAGCTTTAGCTGCAGCCTTCTGATCATGGCCTTGTTTCTTTTTCTGTCCAGCTTGCTTTTTGGCATTTTTCTGTTGTGACTGGATTTTCTGCTGTCCACGAGCCATATCTAGAAGTTCAGAAATTATAACTGATTATTCATGTATGCTTCCTAAATGAAAGGAATGTATCAGCCTATACATGCTTAGCATTATTGTTTCAGAAGCTAAAATATGAAGTAGGGTATTGCAATTATCCCAATTCAAAGTGCAACATGATTCGTATTAACAAGGGCACACATGTACGCAGCTGTCAGAAACATTTGCAGCCAAACATGCCTTTTCCCAGGATCACATATCAACTGCAGAAGGCAGCTCATTTAAACACATCAGATAGCTGAACCAAAATGAAAGTAAAGCTTTTAGTGTCAGGTGATACTGTTTGTTTTTTTTAAATAAATTTGTATGCAAAGTTTTACAAAGAACATTAAAAACTAATGCCAGACCCCAACCAGCAACCATGAAATTTACTTCATGGATCCTCAAGGCAGTATAGAATTGGGTATAGTTCACAATGATGGAATTTGACATAATTTGTTGAAATATTGGAAGGAACAGGGAGGGAGGGAAGGGAGGGAGTGGAAAGAGAATAAATAAAACTTCCAATTTCCTTGCCGTACAGTACAACTACAAAATTATCTCTTACTCTATGAGATATAATCTATTTTGAATGAGGAACAAGTTCATAGTCAAGGAGTTCTCTTTGAACTTGCACTGATAGCCTAAATTATATAAACATATAAATTACTGGATAATAGTAGCAAGTGAGGATTTTCATGAGCTTCCACTACTGTGATAGTTGTGTTTATACTTGAAGAGACTTGTGCCAGTAACATCAAGTGCAGATTATTGCAACATTCCTGTGTTGTTTGACTGTCCTCAAAATTGTTACAGAATTGTGACTGATCCAAAATGAAGCATGCAGTTTATACAGTGAAAGTGGCACCACCCAAAAACTCCTATGCTGAAACAGTCACATTGGTTGCCAGTTGCTTTCCAAGCCAAATTCAAAGTATTTGTTTAGGGGTATAAAGCCTTACAAAACTTAGGCCTTAAATAATTGCAGGATTGTGACAAAGTCTTCTTGGTAAATTCAGTTTTCAATGGAGCATGTATTGGAGGCTCTGCCACAGATATATTAACACACAACAAAATATATTACTACTATAATGCTGATAAATCTGGCCTACTCTTATTTCAATTTTGGTCTTACTTGAAAAAAAAATTTTTTTTTATAAACAACCCAAGACAGCAAACATAACTAATATTCCTGCCTTCCCAAGTTTTAAGCACTTATTTCTAATATTATTTTAGAGTGATTTCAGAATTCTGTATATTGCATGTGTAGCTTTGTAAGTCACACAAAGTTATTCAAATATACATTAATAAATATAATTGTATTAAGGAAAATGTAATGGAATTAAATAATATATGGCTCCTACTGAAATTGATATTCTCATAACAAATATTCTTTCTACTACTCATCTGCTTTATATTCCAATGTCATTATATTTCCATGCTTTTATAATTCCATTACATTTTGTGGCAAATCAACATTTCATAATGTATTTTGTTCAACCCAACTATTATACATATAGTGGTATGAATGGAATACTATCAATCTCTCACTGAATAAAGGTGGTTATTTCTTTTATCACTCAGGAAAATATTTCCCAGCAATTCTGGATATAAAGAATATCATTTTTTAAAAAGAAAACAATGGTTCTCTAGCCATTGAACGCCATTTACAACTTGGAGAGGATTGTATTTAATTAATGTAAGAGGAAAAATAACAAAGGTTAGATAAAGATTAGAAGTTTTGTCATATGGCTCATTTGTGGCCACAAATCAATACTAAAACTAAAGAATATTTATTATAAATCTAAAATCTATTAACTGACACAGATTAATAACAGGTTTTCCATTCAAGTACATCCGATGCAATTAAAATACCAGGATTTAAGAGACTGTCATAAAAGTCCCCACAATATACTATCTTCAGACCATTAAATATTCTACAATTCTTTAGCCTTTTGCTTGCTGTTTGTGAATAATGGGTAGTATCCAACATATGTGGAGGGCATCTAGGTAGGGGGAAAGCTGTTCTTTCTAGTTAAAAAAAAAGATAAAGGTTTTTCTGTCTGTCGTGTCTGACTCTAGCGCCCGGTTCTCAACTCTGTTTCTTGGCCAAGGGAGCCAGCATTGTCCAATGGAACTGTTACTTTCCCATCCAAGTGGTGCCTATTAAATCTATTTGCATTTGCATGCTAGGTGGGCTGGAGTTGGGGCAAATAATGAGAGCACGTAATGATCCAGTGATCTCAAATTCGGACTGTACTCCCATGTTAATGAATCTATACAAAATGGCCCATATTCAAGAAACATATTACAAATATTAATAAACATGAACTATACCATCTTAGTATTTCAATTTATTAGGAACATGTGTTACCAGATATGGACAAACTCTTAATTTTGTACAGTTATATATAATTGGCCTTAAAGAAAAGTAAACTTGCAGTAAACTTGCAACTATGAAGCTGCTAACTAAATGCACATTCTCATGCACATATACAGCAAAAAAGGCCCAATCCAGGTCTCTACAGGACAGGCTCCCCGTCCACCAATTCTGTATGGCAAAATACAGAGTTACAATTGCTGAAACAATGGGTTAAAGGTTGTGAGGAAGTGCAGATAAAAAATTCATTAGCAAAAGAAAAAACTTTCTTTCATACACCAATTTTGCCTTGCAAAGATTATCCTACTTATCTACACAAATACTCTAAATATGAAACACAAGTCTGTCAAAGTAATTGTCATGTGGTCATTAAGTTAACCATGTGGTAGCTAAGGCTGCCAATCCATGCACACATTGGACATTTCATGGAATGTTTGAATTGAAATGTTTTACAATATTTGCAATTAATACTTATTGCTTTGTTTATTCATTTATTCAACTTATATGCTATCCATCTTGCCTGGAGGCAACTCTTATTAACAGAACTTATATGAACAGAACCAAACAAATCCATTAATATTTCCCATAGTCCTTTGCATGTACCCAATTATAACAGCAGTAGAGCAAACAATATGTAGTATATTCTTATTTACAATTTAAAACTGCCATTGCTTGCATCAAGTTAAATTGCTTTCAAGATGGGCAAGATTGAAAGTAATGTAATTGTTTCACAAAAAGTCTCAACTCACATTTGGAGTCTACCCCAACTTTTAAGAAAATCAGGACAATATATACAGGTAGTCCTTGACTCATGACCACAATTGAGCACAAAATTTATGTTGTTAAATGAAACATTTGTTAATTGATTACTGCTCCATTTTATGACCTTTCCTGCCCGTTGTTAAATGAATCACTGCAGGTGTTAAGTTAGTGACATGGTTCAGTGAATCTCACTTCCATATTGAAGTTGCTTGCTCAGAAGGTTGAAAAAGGAGATCACATGACCCTGGGACATTGCAACCATCATGAATATGATTCAGTTGCTAAAAATTCTGATCATGGGACGGCTGCCATGGTCATGTGAAAAATAAGTCACACTTTTCAGCGCCAATGTAACTTTGAAGGGTCACTAAGTGAACTGTTGTAAATTGAGGACTACCAGCACAGAATTATATCTTCTTATTCTCCTAGTTGCTCTATGAAATTCAAGTTAGCATGATTGGCTTGAGGTCACTCTGGTGGTCACACGCATGGATAAGATTTGCATTAACTATCAAGTGTGCCAACAAAACTGATCTAATAAGTTTCTTTTGAAACATACTCTGGTTTGCTTTACTTCCATACTAAACCATTTTTCTATTGTGTAGCATGACAATGTGCAAGTTCACTCTGAAAAGGAACAATGTCCATTTTACTGGAAAAGGTTTTTAAAAACCCTGAAAATAGCCAAATCCTCTAGATTCCAGATAAAAATCAATTCCATAAAAAGAATAAGTATGTTTTATTCATCTTAATATTTAAAACATATCTGTTGTAATCATCACTCTGTAGCTCAGGTGAATACTTACTAAGTCTGCAGTTTGGTTAGTATTTTTAAGAGGGACAAAATTTATCAGATTAGGAAATAAATATATGGCAGACGAGATGGATAAACTTATTCAGCAATGATTTTAACTTTTCAAAAGTACCCTCATTAATTTTTCCAATGCTTAGAAAGGGCATAGTAACTAGTTAATTGACTTTTTAAAAAGTAGATAAAGAGTTTTGTAAATTATTTTATTATAGATTGCAGCTTTACATTTTACAACAAGCAGTAATTTTAACTGAGCACAGCAATCAATAATCAATAAAATGAAGACCTAAAATTCAAATATTTTCTTTGAGACAATGAATACTGGAGGTATAGAATTTAGCATTACGTAATCTAGCTTATTTCCTCAACAAATATTGTCTTTTCTTTGCCTGAAAACAGAACAGGACAAAAATAATAATTCTACAGGGTGACTGAATCTCTTATTTCATTCAAAGGATATATGTGGAAGATCTATGTTTTTTATATATTGTATCATTCTAATTTTTCACAAATGTTCTCTTTTCTTCATCTACATGTCACCAAATTAATTCAAAACAAAGAGTGTGACAACCATGTGGGTTATATTTGCTATATATAATGACAGTTGTTTTAATCAAAATTATTATCTGTATAATTATTACACTGGGTCAATCACTATTATACACCAACTCTTATTATGATGCATTTTTTCCCAAAAATTCATGCCACTGCCTTATCAGGTCCTCAGTAAATTTATGGATATGGTACCTTGTTTGGGACAGCTGAGAATTCTAAAAAGTAGGTTGGGTATTTCTAAAACCAAACGAAGATTGTCCATGAGATTGCCAACTGGAATTCTTTAAGTTCCAAAATAATTTTGTATTTATGGCAACTAGTTATCCTGATACTGCACATAACTACTGGTAACATATGCTACCAGATTATTCCTGGTTTTCAAGCAAACTCACAACATTCGACACCAGTCAGCTTCTCATTTGTAAACGCAGAGTACAATATTATATATTTTCTTCTAGTCCATATTTATATTCTTGCATTACAAATTATAGTCTGAAATAACTCTAGGGGCAATACATTTGATTCTTAACAATACATTTGACTCTTAACAATATCAATCAACAGCAACACAATTTTCCAAAGAAGACAAAACTACAAGTTGAGAAAGTCTTCAAAGCTGTCCAAGAAAGTCCAAAAGAAGTCATACTAGATTAAACTGCCAAGTCTTACATCTTTCATGCAACAAAACTTGTTTCCTAGGAGAAAATACAAATTTGAAAACAAACAACTGAGAAGCTAAATGGTAACAAGGTCTGGTGCTTCTGCTCTGAAACGCACTACTTTGCATACAGGAAGCTGAACACCAACAAATTATTTATTCAACTTAATTTGAACTTTATGAGACACCATTATATTTAATTTTCCCTGTACCCCAAAGGCAAAAATACTGTATATAAACATTCCAGATGGACTTTAAGCTGCTTGTGAGGACATCAACAGACTCAGGCCCATCATGTGACTTTAAGGAAAGGCATGAAACTACAATAGGCAGCAGGATCAGAAAAGTATGAAAAGGTTGAAGCGTGTAAAGTATGGCTTATGCTGTGCATAGAGTATTCAAAGGCAATAACCCAAGTGGAAGGGGAAACAAGAGGCCAAGTCTAACTTTGTGCAATACAACAGGCAGAAAAAAAAGCCTCTCTTAGGCAGAGACAGGCCTCAAGAGCCTGGGACTGTAGAGGAACATTATACCTCCACCAGCCTCACCTATTCAAGGCAAACAGGTATTCCCAGTCAAACTACCGCATCTCCATACTCCACTTCCCCCAGGAATCCCGGCAAATACTTTTGAAAGGAAAACAGAAGGGAGAAACATACAAAGAAACGCCCGTTTGAGGAAGCGTGGCTTAAGACTCACTTCAGGCGGCTTTTTCGAGAAGGGCAGCGGCTACCATTCCCCGTCCCGTCCCAGGTAAGCGCCCTCCCGCCTTTCCCCGGGAAGAGCAGCAAAGGCCACGGCAAGCTGTTGCCCCCTCGGAGTCCGCGCAACAATCTGCCCAGCCGTCACCTCCCCCTCCCCACAAAAAAACGCCCGCCAAAGCTACGGAGGAATGCGGGGCCGCCTCCCTGCCGCCTTGGGGTGGGGGGGATAAGGGCGGCCTCGCCCGGGTGGCCAGGAAGGCGCTGCCCTCCGCCCTGAGCAGGCGGGCGGCCTCGCCACCGAGAAGCCCTGGGGCCTGGCAGGGGAGGCAACGGACACCACCACCACCACCCCGTCTTCTTCTTCCTCCTCCTCCCGCCTCGTTTACCCGGGTTGTGGCTTCTCCCGCCGGCGAGGCGTCCGTCGACGGCGAGGAGTGGCTCCGGGCAGCCCCGCAGCAGCGGCCGCCGCCGCCCGCTCGAAAGGATGGAAGAGCCCGCGCGCCTTTCCTGTCCGTCTTCCGGTCTGTCGCCCGGTCCGTCAGTCCGTCGGCAGCCCCACCTTCGCCGCGCCGCGCACGCGCCAGCCCTCCCCTTCTCGGCGCGCGCCGCCCCGCGAACTGGGCCAATGGCGGCGGCGGCGCGCTCTTACCTCAGGCGGGAGCGAGGGCGGCGGGCAAATAGGGCGCGCGCGCTGTGCTCTTCGTCCCCTTTCCCCGCTTCCAGTCTGGGGACAACCGGCTTTGCTTCAGGGCCCGCGACCGGGTCTTCCGAGTCTTGAACTTAACATGGGGAGCGGAGTGGAGTTATGGGCTTTGTAGTCCTCCCTACTTGGGAAGAGTCTGGTGGGGCAAGACGCGGGAATCAAATTCCCGCCCCAGCCTGCTGAAGCCTTCGGAGCATGTTCGATTAGCTGAATATAAATGTATTCACCTATATATTTCTTTATTTTTTTTAATTTTATTTATTTAGTTTGTCACTCATGTACAAGGTAACAGGAATAAGAATAAACATGACTAAGGACACAGGAAATGGGTACAAATAAATGGGGACAGTAGGACAGGGACGTTAGGCACACTGGGGCGCTTATGTACTCCCCCCTTAGTTTAGTTTAGTTTTAGTTTTATTAGAATTTGTAGGCCGCCCTTTTCCCTGAGGGGACTCAGGGCGGCTCACATAAAACTGGGAAGGGGGGAACATAAACAACAAGATAGAAGACATATAATAAAATAGTAGGCAACATACATTCATCATTGGGGGGGGGTAACTATCCTTATCCCCAGGCCTGACGGGCGAGCCAGTTCTTCAAGGCTATGCGGAAGGCTTGGACGGTGGAGAGGGTACGAATCTCCACGGGGAGCTCGTTCCAAAGGGCCGGGGCTGCTGCTGAGAAGGCCCTCCTCCTTGTAGTTGCCAGCCGACACTGGCTGGCCGATGGGATACGGAGGAGGCCTAGTCTATGGGATCTTATTGGTCGCAGGGAGGTAATTGGCAGAAGGCGGTCTCTCAAGTATCCAGATCCACTGCCATGTAGGGCAGTGTTTTTCAACCACTGTGCCGTGGCACACTAGTGTGCCGTGACATAGTGTAAGGTGTGCCGTGGGAGAATTACTTTATATATAGTCAATATAGGCACAGAGTTAAATTTTTTTAACATTTTCTAATGGTGGTGTGCCTCGTGATTTTTTTCATGAAAAAAGTGTGCCTTTGCACAAAAAAGGTTGAAAAACACTGATGTAGGGCTTTATGGGTGATTAATAGCACCTTGAAGCGCATCCGGAGATCGACAGGCAGCCAGCGCAGCTCGCGGAGGATGGGTGTTATGCGGGTGAATCGAGGTGCACCCGCAATCACTCGCGCGGCTGCGTTCTGCACTAGCTGAAGCCGCCGGATGCTCTTCAAGGGCAGCCCCATGTAGAGCACATTGCAGTATTCCAGCCTAGAGATCACAAGGGCCCGAGTGACTGTTGTGAGAGCCTCCCGATTCAGGTAGGGTCGCAACTGGCGCACCAGGCGAACCTGGGCGAATGCCCCCCTGGTCACAGCCGCTAGGTGGTGGTCAAATGACAGCTGTGGATCCAGGAGACCTCTTAGGAATGGGGTGAGGTCAACGGTAGACAGTTTAAGGTTAAAGTTAGGAGGGTTTGAGGATGTAACAACAGAGTCAGGTAAGACATTCTGGGCATTTACCACTCTGTTGCTGAAGGCGTATTTTCTGCAATTGAGTTTGGAGCAGTTTATCTTGAGTTTGTATCTATTGTGTGCTTATGAAGCTGAAGTAGTCATTGACAGGTAGGGTGTTATAGCAGATAATTTTGTGTACTACGCTTAGGTCAGACCGAAGGTGGGGTAGTTCCAGGTTGTCCAAGTCCACAATTTCAAGCCTGGTGGTATAAGGTATTTTGTTGTGAGCAGAGGAGTAGAGTATTCTTTTCGTGAAATACTGCTGGACTTGCTCAATTGTGTTAATGTCCGATATACAGTGCGGATTCCATTACGATTATTATGATTTCATTACAATATGGTTGTTATTATTATTCAATTACCGGGTGGATATATGTGGTATATACGTCGGTGGGTTTCATTGTGGTTGAATTTGGATTTCTTTATTGTTGAGGACATTGCAATTCTATAAGAGTCATGCTTTTGCCAATTGGGTGACCCTAGCAGCAGCCCTTCAAATCAATGTTTTCCAACCTTGACAATTTTAAGATATGTGGATTTCAACTCCTGGAATTCCCCATCCAGCTTGCCCTTATCTTAATGTTGCCAAGGTTGAAAAACACACTGATATAAATACATACATACTGTCTCCACATGTATTTTAATAAATAAAGGAGTTGCACCATTTTTGTTGGATAACCATTTCTCTGAAGTGCTGTAAGGTTTCCTGCCTAAGCAGGGGGGGGTTGGACTAGAAGACCTCCAAGATCCCTTCCAACTCTGTTATTCTATACCCGAATTCACTTTTATGGGCTTCTAGTGAAGCATGGAGATACAAATGAGACCAGTGTCCTTCATTTATTGAAAGGTGTAACTCCCTCTTTGGCTCTCCTAGTGTTTATTCAACTTGGTTCTGTCCTGAACAATAATCACAATATCACATTCAAGACTGGAAAAAATGTGAAAATTAGGGTTGAATAATGAAATCTTTGTCCTAAAAGTAATGTTTTGAAGAATGGGCATACAGTAGATGGGATAATATGTTGACTTTTAATTTGTGTAATTCTGTAGCCAAATGTATATCCTGCCATTCCAAAAGTAATGGTGGGGGGTTGTCAGTTGATCCAAAAGAGGTGATTTTTTTTGCAGAAAATGAGTTTGTTTTGGGTAGAATAAAATACCAAGGAACTAAGCATCAAAGAATATTACATGTTCCCAGATGCTTTGTGCGCTAACTCTGTTATATTCTACTGATTGCCTTTTTTTCAAGTTTAAAGTAGGGCCTGCTTTTCTATGAACTTCCTAGTGATTAGGTTTGGTTGCAGAGGCCCTGTTTTTGTTATGTCCAATTATAAGATGACACAGATTAACATGAGAAAGAACATAAAGGAAGTGGCTTATTTGCAAGATAATGATTTTGAAACACTTTAGTAGTCTAGTAGTAAAAACTGTGGTTATTTCTATTCTCAGCCACTATAGCTGTTACAATCTTCTGATAATGTAGGTTCTAAACGATCAGTACTATCAAAGAACCTATATCTCATCTGACAGAATTAAAGATACAAATTTTTCCCAAAAAAGGATGGATGTGGAGTTCAAGATTTATCCTGAGCTGCAACTAGTTTATTTCTGAATTTCAAATGGGAAGAGAGCACTTGTCTACCCTAGATGAGTTCAAATCACCAGGACCAGATGGATTACATCCGAAATTTCTGAATGAACTGACAGATGTGATCTCAGAACCACTGAACTATATCTTTCAAAGATCCTGGAGCACCAGGGAATTACCAGGGAACTAGAAAAAAACTGATGTAGTTCCCATCTTCAAAAAAGAAAAAAATAATGAATCCAGGAAATTGCAGACCTATTAGTCTGACATCAATACATGGGAAGATTCTGGAAAAGATAATTAAGCAACAAATCTGAGAACACCTAGATACAAACAAAACCAAAAGGCAACATGGGTTTGTCAAAAACAGATCGATCCAGACAAATCGTATTGCATTCTTTGACAACGTGACAAAATTAGTGGACCAGAGAAATGCTATGAATATAATTTACTGGAACTTCAGTAAAACATTTAATAAAGTAGACCACAACTTGCTACTTGAAAAGATAGACAAGGTCACACAAAATGTAAAAAAGATGTTGAGATTAGAAAGTGTGCAGAGAAGAGCAACAAAGATAATTAGGGGACTGAAGGCTAAAACAAGAATAATTGCTGGAATTGGGTATGTCTAATTTAATGAAAATAAGGACTAGGGGTGACATGATAGCAGTGTTCTAATATGTAAGGGGTTGACACAAAGAAGGGGAGTCAACCTATTCTCCAAAACACCAGGAAGGCAGGACAAGAAGCAATGGATGGAAACTAATCAAGGTGAGAAGCAACATAGAACTAAGAGGAAATTTATTGACAGAACAATTAGTGGAACAACTTGCCTCCAGAAGTTGTGAATGCGCCAGCATTGGAAGTTTTTAAGAAGAGATTGGACAACCATTTGTCTGAAATGGTATAGAGTTTCCTGACTTAGCAGGGATTTGACTAGAAGACCTCCAAGATCCTTCCCAACTCTTGTTCTGTTCTATCTGTACCATGAGTATGACTCCATGAAAGCCATTGATTTGGGATTTTTAAACATTGGCTTCAGCTTTTGTTTGTTTAATTCATTCATTTAGTTTTCAGATGTATATATTTTAAAATCTTAACTCATAGGGGCTTACAAAAATAATAATAAAATCATTACAGTAGTAGCAGATGAGGAGAAACATAATTCCAATTCGAATTCAGAAAATGGAACACAATTGACAAAATTCAGTGCCAAATAATTTTTGTCTTTGCTTTGCATGACTGTTCAGAAGTGAGACTCATGAAAATCGTTTATTCCAAAACAAGCATTCATAGCACTGTAACTTAATTTATTCAATACATTAGTTACAACAGTAATGATCAACAATATATATTCCCCCCTCCCCAAAATTAATTCTTAAAGTGAGATAGAATTCCTTTGGAAGATTTTCACAGCTTAGTTGTAGATATGAAAAAGCTGATCTCTTTAATTCCAGCTATTGTTGGGACAGATCAAAGAGCTTCTGTAGATGATAGTAGAACAAGCTAGTCAGCAATATAGTTAGACAATAACCTTGATTTACTTTGAATAAAAGTCTACCATGGGCCTAACAGCTATGCAAGCAGGTGCTTTGGGTGTAATGCATATTATGTAACTTTTCCAGGTTTCAAACATCACTACTATTTCAAAATGTAATCAGAAACCTACTGAGTGTAAAGCTACAACTTTGTTTCGAATTGGGGTGGCTACGTAATTGGTACATGCTGTTTTATATAGTGATCTAAAGGAATTGAGAATTCAATATTTAGAAGTG